GGATTGCTCCAGAGTATCCTTTCTCTAGGCCTTACTTCAAAAGTGAATTAAAAGTCTGCCCTTCCTTGAATCTGCAGGAAACTCTAGTGGCATGAATATTTTTGGCACGATTGCTCTTCCCTCTTCTGACTATATTGCATAATTTCCAAGCTTAAGCAGAATGGTGTTATGTTGTTGATGAATTTAAAGCATATGATAGTGGGGGAAATGGGAATATCTGTCAATCATGGGATGCAGGAATCAGATACATCTAGTTCCAGTACATGCAGTACAATGCAGTGAGACATCTGCAGATCTCTACATTGGGGAAACAAAACAACCATAAAAGCATGGCACAACATAGGAGAACAAATCCATCAGGACAAGATTCAGCAGCCCACCTGCATTTAAAAGACAAAGGCCACTCTTTTGAAGACAGCAAAGTCTACCTTTTGGACAGAGAGGACTGCTGGTTTGAAAGAGGGGTCAAAGAAGCCATCTATGTCAAAATTGAAGAACCCTATCAACAGAAGGGAAGGGATACAACATCCTCTAGCTCCAGTCTACAGCAGTCTTCGGCAATTCCAAGAAAGCTCCACAGCCATTTGCACCACTCAGGTGACCTTGAGGACACACACAAGCCTCCAATTGGCCTCAACAACTCTCTAAAAGAATGCAAATGACCAGCTGTCTGCAAGGAATATAAATCCTTCCATTCCCCACCATCCAGTCAGAGCTGAAGAAGCTTCTTGTATGAGAAGCGAAATGTCTTTAAAAAAACAACAACAAGAAAGTCCACTTGCCTCTTAAAAAAGCACCTTTGGGACAACCATGACCGAGAATCTCTATAGATACTCTGGCAACCTCTTGGCTCTGTTATATTGTCCCTGATTTAGGTCCTCCTACTTTACTGAGCAGCTCCAAACCGCCCTGAAACATCTGGTTAGGGGACTGGAGGCTAAAACATATAAGGAACGGTTGCTAGAATTGGGTATGTCTAGTTTAATGAAGAGAAGGACAAGGGGGGGACATGATAGCAGTATTCCAATATCTCAGGGGCTGCCATAAAAAAGAGGGAATTAAGCTATTCTCCAAAGCACCTGAAGGCAGGACAAGAAGCAACAGGTGGAAACTAATCAAGGAGAGAAGCAACCTAGAACTAAGGAGAAACTTCCTGACAGTTAGAACAATTAATCAGTTGAACAATCTGCCTCCAGAAGCAGTAAATGCTCCAACACTGGAAGTTTTTAAGAAGAGACTGGACAGCCATTTGTCCGAAATGGTGTAGGGTTTCCTGCCTGAGCAGGGGGTTGGACTAGATGACCTCCAAGGTCCCTTCCAACTTTACTAGTATTACTATTACTATCTGCCAGACAGCTGAGCGATAGGATGGAGTTGCTACCCAGTAGTGGAAGAGTTTCTCCTGCTTTTTGCCGACCCCCATCTCCATGTTAGATGTCTTGTAAGTTTGGAGAAGATACCACGTTTTGATAGCTAGCTAAACGGAGGGCTCTAGCCATCCGCAAAACATCTCCCAGTCACACAGTGATGTGTTGGGTGGATTGTTTGTGCCAATTAGAGAGGCTCAGATAGCTTTACCCAAACAGTATATCATGCCTATACTTCTAAAATCTGGACGCCACTTCCGATAACAAGCTTGGCAACATACGGCTTGTCAGTGGGCATAGCAGGTATATAGTCTTTTGCAGCTCAAGGGTAGTGGACAGCAACTTAACCGATCAGTGGGGAAAGATCTGCGTACATCTTCTCTTTATAGACTCCAGCTTGTCGTCACATAAGTTGAAAGAAAAGTAAACATCATGAACAAAAATAAATTGTTGACAGCGATTCTTGGGGGAAAGCTCAAGGAAACCCTTTTATCAATAGAAGAGAATATTTGTAGTTCAGGATTGAAATGAGAGCTCCTTGGTGCTCTCTGAGCTTGGTTTCTTGCAGATGTTTCATTCACCCAACAAGGTAATATTATTGGCCAGCACTGATCATGTTACCTAGTTTGGTAATGAAACATCTACAAGAATATCGCCAAGCTCAGAGAGCAGCACGGACCCCACAAACCCTTTTATTTAGGATTTCTCTTTCTATGTTGATCCTATATTATACAGGATTTCTCTTTCTGTTTTGACAAAAACTGCCAACTTGTGGGTTCCTTCGTGTTAGTGTTTCAGAGGAATAAAAACTATGATGCTTTTTCAAATCCTAGCAAGATTATATGTCAAATTATTATATCTGATATTGTATCCAGTCTTTAGGGAACCAAGGATGGTAAAAGCAATGTTCGGGGGGGGGGGTAAATAGGGGCCATGTCCACATTATTCTGAAACCCACAATAGACACTTCTCTGATCCTTTCCACAATTGGCCCCTCGGCTGCCTCAGCGTTGGGGGTGGCAAAGCAGAACAGATTTTACCCACCTGGAAGCTATCACTACAAATAGTCCTCGGCTTACAATAATTTGTTTAGTGACCGTTCAAAGTTACAGTGGTGCTGAAAAAAGCCATTTACGACCATTTTTCACATTTACGACCGTTGCAGCATCCCCACGGTCATGCGATTAAAATTCAGGCACTTGGCAACTGGTTCATATTTATGACCATTGCAGTGTCCCAGGCTCTCGGGATCCCTTTGGCCGACCTTCTGGTGAGAAAAGTCAGTGGGGGAGCCAGATTCACTTAATGACCACGTGACTAACTGAACAGCTGCGGGGATTCAATCAACAACTGTGTCAAGAAAGGTCGTAAAATGAGGCAAAACTCACTTAACAACTGTGGTCGTAAGTCGAGGACTACCTATACATGGTGTTGGAACAAGGTGGGAGGCCTTACTTTAACACTGGTTTGGATAGGGATGCTGAGCCGACCTTATTCTTGGGCTGAGGCAAGACAAAGTCAACCTCCAGAGTCAAGGAGCAAAGGCTCCGTGATCAAGAAAAGCTTGCGTTGTAATACGCAAGTGAGAAAAGTCCCCCAGTCTTCAGTTTCCTGCGGTTTAGGGGTGTCTTTTAATGATACAAAGAAATTGAGGACTGACTAGAATTAGAACCTGCCCCCCCTAAACTTAATCTAATGTCCCCCCATTTTCTTGAACCTCCTTTTAATGTACCTCACAGATGAAAGTCCCACCCTTCAGTTGGACTTCTCCTACTACTCCTATGAGTACGAGGCAGACCCCTACACTTCTGAAGGGGACGCTTTTGAACTGACAACGGCAAGTGGCACAGAGGCACAAGATAACGGCAGATATCAGGGAGCTGCGGTGATCCCCCGGAAGTGAATGGTGAGAGGTTCAGTGTGGCCTTGGGGTATGAGGCTTGGTAATTCTCTGCTCCCTCTCCACCTCACCATGTTCTCTCTTCCCTGCTTTCCTGTTTCCTATTTCTCCGTAGAAAGCTCCTTCCTTTCAGCCTTAACAGAACCAACTCCACAAGGGATCCAGGCCATTTTATTGTTCTGTGTCTTGCTGTCAAAGGAAGATGGAACTTTGTCTTGCCCTTCCCATGACTCTCACAGCAGCCTCCTTGCCACTTTCCCACTTGTGTCGTGCAAGCTATGTAGGGCAAGCTGGAATCCAGGCCCTCTTTTGGAGTTGCTCGTCCATCATACAAGTTGCCTTCCAACTAACTCTGCCCTAGTTGTGAGTGGAGAAAGGATGGCACCATTGATTTCCATGACCCAGGCAATTCTATCGCAACCAAAGCACAAGAGCTCCAGGTCATTTGTTTTGTGCCTCATATTACTGCACCTCTTTCTCTCTCCCCCTCCTTCCCTCCCTCCCTCCCTCCCTCCCTCCCTCTCCCTCTCCCCTCCCCCCCCCTCTCTCTCTCTCTCTCACACACACACACACACACACACACACATCCTTAGCCCAGAGGGTGGAAGAAGGGCTTGGACAGAACAAGTTTTGTCTGTTCAAGGGTTGGTGCTGGTGGGGTAGGAGTTGGCTTCCCAGTCTCACCTTATCTTCCCCCTCCAGATTATCCTTCCTCCATTGTTGTGCAAAGATAAGCATGCGTGTCCACCTCATATTTTCCAGAGCACTGGAGCTGGTCCACTTCTACCTTCTTCCCCCTCTAAGCTTCTAAACCATGGACGGTAAACATGTACCATTCTAGATATTGCTAATTACAAACCCTGCACTCCCAGCCAATTTGGCTACAACTGACAAACTCTTAGGATTTGTAGTTTGCAAACATCTGGGGCTACAGCTTCCCCTCCTGTTTTACGTCATCCATGAGTGATGGCAAAATAAGCTATTTATAAATCTGATGGGAAGTCAGAGAATATTTCCTAAGGGGATTGAAGTTTGAGAACTACTACTACCCAGCCTTGGTTCTTCTGCAATGCAGATATGCCAGCCTTGATATGCTGTACCCAATATTTATTGTAAAACAAACATTTTTATTTACCCCAAATTATCATCCAATGGAATCAGATTGACATGGTGACCCCAATCTTGACATATTTTTATCTCTGCTCATTGGGCTCATCTGTTCTTGCCCACTGTACATCTAGGCCAGGGGTAGGCAACCTTGGCTCTTTTATGACTCGTGGACTTCAACTCCCAGAATTCCTGAGCCAGCATGGCTCAGCTTGGAAACCTCTCCCTTTCCCTTCAGCATGGCTGGCTCAGGAATTCTGGGAGTTGAAGTCCACCAGTCATAAAAGAGCCAAGGTTGCCTACCCCTGGTCTAGGCAGAGACGTGCTTGTTCATTCCAGGTGCTCAGTAGACCAGCCTGCTCCCCACTTGCTTAGGCATTGCAGGGGTACAGTTTGCTTTTATGGTTCAGCACAATCCTTTAGTGAATTGGAGCATTCGGGGGTTGGGTGGGATGGGAGAAGAAGTTTGATTTAGATATTGATAAAATATTTTATTAAAAATTGATTTTTAAAACAGTTGTGACTCCTTTTGGTTTCTTCCTGAGATGATAATTTACGAGTAAGGGTCTGAGGCAGATCCAGAAACAAAAAGGATGAGGTTAATGAAGACTCAATCAGCAACAAACTTATTTTTGGAAGTTTTCTTGGTATCCATTTATTAGAGAGTCCTTGGACTTTTCCAAATCCATACAGTTAAGCCACAAAATAAGGGGAAGAATTATCTACTACGCAAGACTTTATAATTAATGAGTAGTATGATTAGGCTTCTTGGAAGTTGGAATGGAGCTGAGACTGGGCAGGTTTTATCCAGCTATATTGTTTTAAGAACTCCAAGAAGAAATTGATCATTAGCTGCTTCCTCAAAAAAAAAGTCTTGGTAAGACCATGAAAAACCCCAGCCAGTCCCTTTTCTGTTTTCCTTTCCTTCACAGTACAGCGAAAAGAGTCTCTCCTTCACCCCAGAGACTAGGAGGGATGGAAGTTTTTTGAGGGCAGCGTTTCTTTTAAGGTCTTCCCAGACACAGCAGAATCCTTCCGGTGGCCAAAGAGTCTCTTCTTCACATTTGACCTGAATTCTTCCGAGACATAATAGTAAATGAAGGGGTCGACGCAGCTATTACAGGTGCTCAAGGCTAGGCTGGCCATGTAGGCCACGTAGACTGTCCCATCGTTCTCGCAGGAGTGGGAGTAGTGGAGGAGCAACAGGATATGGCTTGGACTATAAAAGGTCACGACTGAGACAAGCATGATGGCTGTCAGCTTGGCAGCCAAAACATACTTTTCACCGCTGCCCAACAAGACCCGGAGTGTAACCCCACAGCTGAACACCATGATGAGGAGAGGAGTCAGGAAGCCACAGGCAACGAGGATAATGAAGTAATAGTAGTAATATTCAACTTCCTCCTTCCATGGCAGGGCATCATGACATAGAGTCTGCTTGGTCCTATAGAGTGGGAAGGACTGGCGGAAGAGAGTCAGAGGCAGGGTGAAGAGGACAGCCACCACCCAAACTACAGCACAGGTGCCCATGGCGAAGGCAGAGCTGCGGAAGGAGCGGGCGAAGAACGGGTGGGCTACAGCAAGGTAGCGGTCCATGCTGATGCAGGCAAGCAAAATAATGGAACAGTACATGTTGCCGTAGAAGGCTGTAGTGGTAAAGCGGCACATAGCCTCTCCAAAGGGCCAGTGGTTGCCCAGGAAGTAGTAAGAGATCTTCAGAGGAAGCAGCAGGCATAATAAGAGATCAGCAGTTGCTAAATTTATCAGGAATATAGTGGAGGGCAGTTTCTCCACCCGTGTGGCGAGCACCCAGAGGGCCAGAGCATTGGCAGGGAGTCCAATGAGGAAAATAAGGGTGTAAAAAGATGGGAGGACGACGACGGTGAGCGTGCCAGCAAGCAAACCACGCGAATCTTTCGAGATACGCAGGAATGTACTGTTGTTTTCAGTGATCATCTGTGCTGGGATGGTGCGAGGGCACGGGCCCGGGCCCCTGTGTCGCATGGGTTGATTCTCATCGGTTCCATTGGAACTATAGTCTAACGATAGAAGGAATCTAGTCAGTGATTCTAATTATGAGTCCCCAGTCCACCTCCAGCCTTCACTGCATCTAGTTTTAAAAAGCAAGCACCTCCCTTCCTCCCTCTATTTTGGGGCTGTGTGAACCTGTTTCAGTTTTTGATTCCTGAGACTGCCTAGACTGCAGTTTTCTTGGCAAGAGTTTCAGAATTGGTTTGCCCGTGCCTGCTTCCTAGGGCTCAGACAGCAGATCACTGAGTTAATCTCCTTGTTTCTAGTCTCGTGCCTTAACCACTACACCAAACTGTCCATCTCCTCTCCTTTGAATCGCAGAATTGATTGGAAGGATCTTGCAATTAAAGCATTCCTGAGAGCATTCCAGATTCTGCTTGAACTTGCTCTATGAAGTATGAGGTGTTCAGATTGCTACTGTCCAGTTGTTTATACTACTAGGATGTTTCTCGTACTATTCGGCTGACATTTGCTTCTTTGGCAGCCTTTCAAATGTTCAAAGATAGTTATCGTATTGCTTTAATTTGTTTTTCAGATCTAAAAATATGCAGTTTTTTAAACACTTTTTTCCTGAGGATTATTTTCCATCCTGACTAAGGTGCCAGTCACATTCCAGATAGTCTTTAAAATGTGGCATTATTCCAAGCACATTTGTTAAACAATCCTATCACATTGCTGGCTCATACTAAGTTTTTTGATAAATTTAAGAGATCTTAATTCTTTTCACATCACCTTTCCAAAACTAGGAATTATTTCTCCATCTTATCGCTATTCTTTTTGGTTCCAAAGACTTCCTATTTATTTATGTCTGTTTCTATCCTGCCAATTTTGACTGCAGATTATCACCCTTTGTTTTTCTACACAACATTTGGCTCCCCATCTTAGCTTCATGAAATTTGCAGAAGTAATTTATAATAATGTTGAACTCCATAGAGCTAACAGTGTCTTGATGCTCTCTATGCAAGTTCTTCCCCATTGGACCCATGAAAGCAACAGGAAATGGCTATTCAAGCAGCTGTGTATATTTTATTAACCAACTGTGTTTTGTATATCAGAGCTAGAGAAGACGCTGACGCCATCAACATGAGCTTGCAAATAACCAAAGCAAGAATTTTCCTCTCCTAAACTTTTCTTTGAATTGTGGTGGCACTTGACTGCAATAATTGTGACAATTTCTTTTCTGTCTAAGGGACACGCTTTTTATTTTTTACTATTCCTTCCAAGAGATGTGGAAGGAATAGCCAATGATGTGATGACACCAACACAGCAAGCAAGATAAACCAATTTGCTTTCACATTTTAGAGAGTTACAGTGCCTTAGCATACATTTTCAGGATGATATTTGAAAAAAAAATAGTGTCACAATCCTGGAGGGCTTTGGTGGCTGCAAATTTGGAACTGTCTGCCCCACTGTCAAAGAAGCAGGAAATCTCTGCCCCATTCAGTGTTCCTGAGCTGCAGTAGCTACACTGTTGCAAAATCTACAAGACCTTAGCTCTTGTCTTAGGCTTTTAATCAAGGGTTTCCAGGCTTTCAGGCCATACAATATGCTAGTTTTTTTTTTTTTTTTAAGCATCCTTGGAAGCCCTCATGAGGAAGTAAAGCTCTAAGTGACAGATAATATGCTTTGTTTAAGCATTTCATGGAATCCTATAGAGATCTCACAGAACTCTTAGGATTCTGGACTTCGAAAAGTCCTCCTATAAACAATGCAATTTCTTAAGGAGGAAAAAAAAACCCTGGCCATCTATTTTTCACTTGAGGCATCTTAAAGAGTGCTATGGAAAGCATCTTTAACTCTGGAGGGGACCTTAATGGAAATGCTAAAACCCTGAAAGAGAGTCAAATCCCCACACCCGCCCCCCACGACTTCTTGGTTCCTCAGGCCAGTTGGTCCTGCTCCTGGGGTTCTGTCTTGCTAAATGGGGTTAGGGAGGTTTGACTTCTTACCATCATAATCAGTAAATCCCGAAATTGACACCTTCCAGCAGCACACCAGCAGTAGGGGCAAGAGGTATCGCCTCGTCCCAGTGTCGCCCAGTGACATCCTGTGCACTGTCAGCAAAAGTGGTTCACTGTGCTGTGAGGACTCTGGCAACATCCCATTTCCTGCCTTGACAGGCTCTTAACCTCAGAAAACATCATATTCCTGCTACCCGCCTCTTCTGGGAGTGGCTTGGAGGGGGAGCTGTTTTTACAGCAAGATATGTGGGAAAGGAAGTACATGTCTCAGTGACATAATCCTGTTCCTGACAGAGAGGGGGGAAGTCCCGAACCAGGATTGGTCTGGTATGCCTCAAGGGGCTGCCCCACAACACAGATGACCCACTGCATCTAACTCCTTTAGCCATAAAAGCAAAAAGTGACCATCAGGCCTGGTTGGCAGTCCAGGGAAGCCCTTTGATTTCTCCAGAGATTCTGCTCTGTTATCTGCAGATACCTTCACTCTACCTCCTTTCTCATCAAGGCTGAATATGCTTCAGGCCTGTCGGACCTCAAAATAAATATAGAGGACCAGATATGACTTGAGTTTTCCAAACCAAAACTGAACCTTTGCTGAAAAGAGAGTGGACTTGTTAATCTTTGAAATTAGGCTTCCCCACCAACCTGACCTTTTGCCTCCACAGCCTCCCCACTGTGTAATCAAGGTCACTTAAGATGTCTTTGACAAATATACAAACATTCTGGTGGCCTCTGCAATATCCTCTGCTCCTCCTGATAAGGGTCAGGAAATAACGTCATGGTGGGGCGAAGGAGGAGGGCAACACAGGATATTGCTGTTCAGATAGGGCCTGTTTCAGCTCCATCCATCTGCAAATGGCACAGCTACACAAACATGGCTAAGGGGGAGGAGAAGTGCGATGTAAGCATGGAACTTCCTGCTTGTGGGATTAGAGCATAGAATAACAGAGCTGGAAGGGACCTTGGAGGTCTTCTAGTCCAACTCCCCACTCAAGCAGGAGTCCCCATAGCATTCCAGACAAATGGCTGTCCCGTGTCTTCTTGAAACCTCCAGTGTTGGAGCCCCCACAACTTCTGGAGGCAAGCTGTTTCATTTAATTGTTCTGTCAGGAAATTTCTCATTAGTTCTAAGTTGGATCTCTCTTTAATGATCTTCCACCCATTACTTCTTGTCCTGCCCTGAGGACCTCACAAAGAGGGAGTCAAATTATTCCCTCCAAAGCATCTGCCCCCATAAGTTCACTTCCTCTTTGTAACAGTCCCTAAAATACTGGAAGACTTCTAATATATCATCCCTAGTTCTTCTCTGCATTAACAGAGGGATAGAATCAAGATCACGTGAAGTATTAATACCACTTTACAATGCCTTGGTAAGGCCCCACTTGGAATACTGCATCCAGTTTTGGTCACCATGATGTAAAAAAGATGTTGAGACTCTAGAAAGAGTACCGATAAGAGCAACAAAGATAATTAGGGGACTGGAGGCTAAAGCATATAAGGAACGGCTGTTGGAATTGGGTATGTCTAGTTTAATGAAGAGAAGGACGAGGGGGACATGATAGCAGTCTTCCAATATCTCGGGCTGCCACAAAGAAGAGGGAGTCAAGCTATTCTCCAAAGCACCTGAGGGCAGGATAAGAAACAAGGGATGGAAACTAATCAAGGAGAGAAGCAACCTAGAACTAAGGAGAAACTTCCTGACAGAACAATTAACCAGTGGAACAACCTGCCTCCAGAAGCGGTGAATGCTCCAACACTGGAAGTTTTTAAAAAGAGACTGGACAGCCATTTGTCCGAAATGGTATAGGGTTTCCTGCCTGAGCAGGGGGTTGGACTAGATGACCTCCAACTTTATTATTATTATTGTTATTATTATTATTAATTAGACTTGATATAACTAGTTCCGTCAATCATTCATCATATGGTTTAGCTTCCAGATCCCTCATTATCTTTGTTACTCTCTGCACACTTTCTAGGATGCTATGAAGCTCTCTGCACTCTTTCTAGGGTGTCATCAGGGCAGCATGAAACAGTACTATCATTTCATGTGATTTTGAAACTATCCCTTTTTTTTTAATGCAACTTAGGACCACATTAGCCTTTTTGGCAGCTGCAGAGGCCTCGATACTGCCAGGGGCAGGCACCCTTGCAGACGTGACAGATGCCCCAAAGAGAAATAACAAAGGCACAGCTGCTTTGAAAATGGCCAACGTCTTATGAGACTTCACTTAGATCTTAAGATTTGACTCCTGAAATTTTTGCAATTTAATTTTGGTAGTCAATGGAAGCTACAGATAACTACACAGATACATACCAATTTTGAGTTAAACAGATTTAAGAAGTAAGAGAGTAGTACTAAATACTATGCCAATGAAATTAAAGGTCTGAAACTAGCCTTCATCAACACTATTCAGTATTTTTCTGTATTTCCTTTTTATCCTTGCTAACCATCTTTTTTTCATCACATCATTTAAATTTCTTAACTCTGCCTTTCTGTGGAACTCATCAACAGTATCCAGCCACAACTTTCTCAATCTTCTCTTTAGCCTGCTTACTTTTTCTTTGTTTAGTTTTTTTGGAATTTGATATATCCAACTTCCACTTGCATTGAAATGGGGAGCAATACACTTGTATACATCACTTTTTGCTTCAATCAATCATTATTCCTTACAACAGATTAACCACCACTTTTCTACCATTTTGTACATATGAAACTATCCCTACCCATTTTCTCTTTTGTAAACATCCTACCACAAATTCACATACTTTTCTTCCCCATTTATAAATAGCTTGCAATTATTCTGTTAAATCCAACTATGTTTACCTTTCGTACATTTTCACATCTACATTTCTTGTTACACCGTACTTTTTAAACCTTTGTTCCTTCAGTTCTTGTGCTTTGACTGTTCCGATAAAAGAGAATATATGTAGCTCAGAGTTGAACTGTGGAGTCCTTGGTGGTCTGTGAGATCAGTTAGCCTGCCAAGGTTGGGGGGGGGGTGAGCTTTTCTCCCTGGTAGCTGCTTGATTAGGATATTGTTTGCCTGGTGTGAATCCCTGCTTATCTGGATGTTGGCCGCTGGAGGGGATGCGTTCTGGTCGTTTTGTTTTGTTTTTAACTTTTAAATTGTGTATTTTGAATGGTGTGTAAATATGGTTTATCTCTGTGTGTCTATTGCTGGCTGATTTGCCTGAATGCCAAGTTTCCAGGAATTTTTTTTTAGAGTTTTTGAATTTAACTTGGTGTAGGATGCTCAGTTTCTCAGTTGAAACTATGGTTGAATCTGTCCAAGTGTTGTGAGATGGCAATTTCATTGTGTCTTCTGATGCTATTTGCTGTTCATGGATGCACTCTGCTAGTCTTCTGTATGTGTTGTAGACTCGTTTTTTCTTCTTCTTGGTCTGTCGGGTCTTTTGGTTTACTTAAGATGTTTTGGAGGGCTTTAGCTGTTCTGTATGCTATGGGCTGCTCTGTGGTTGTAATAGTCTGTTGGTTGTTTCTGAGATGTTTTTGGTGTATGGTGACGCTATCTTTTCATAGCTTGTATTGCTTGTGCTGTGCGTGGTCAAACATTTTTTGTTAAAATTGCGTAGATTTCCATTTTGTTGGAAGATGTTGTATAGGTACTTATTTCCTTTTTCTTGTATTTCTGAATTGCTCTGTGCACTTGTACTCGTCTGAATACAAATATTTTTGTCTGAATACAAATATTCAAACATGTTGCAGCAGCTTAAAGAGGGAGTAAACCCCATACTAGCACTGATGAGGTTACCAAGTCAAGTAATGAAATGCTACAAATAATCATGTTCAAAGAGCATCAAGAACTTCACAGCTTCAAATATTGTTTTCTACCGTTTTCATCATACTAAAACATTACATTATAAAGCATTTGTAATGTTAATCTCTGGAAACCTCATTTAGCTATGTTAAAATAAAAACTAGTTTTCAAACCATAAAACTATTGATCTACATGACTTCTTTACAATGAACTGCAAAACTAACTAAGCACTCCATTTCTTGGCTGCAACAGCACACCTTGCAACTTGTCCTCTAACAAAATTATTTTCACCTATCACCTTGAATTTAAGTTCCATCGTGGAATGAAGGCGAGATAAATCAATCTCGTATCCTTTCCCCAAAATCAAATAATTTGAAATATCTTTAGTTGTTGCATGATACTGCTGTCCTGAAGTGGGCCTTGCAAGCCTTCCAATAGCATAATGCTGCTGGTGTAACTGGGCCCATCCAACGTGCCGCTGGTCATCCTCTTTTTCTCTTTCCTTTTTGACTTTTCCAGCATTATAAGCCTCTCAAGGAGGCTGGCCCTTCATATAGTGCAGTGTTTCTCAACCGTGACAATTTTAAGATATGTGGACTTCAACTCCCAGAATTCCACAGCCAGCAATGCTGGCTGTGGAATTCTGGGAGTTGAAGTCCACATGCCTTAAAATTGTCAAGGTTGAGAAACACTGATATAGTGAAATGTTTCCAAAATGTAATTTGAACCTGGCTGCAAGGAAGAAATGTGTTTAGTTCTACTGGTTTAATTTATAAGGCTACCAGACTCGGTGGTGACTCTAGATCAGGGGTTCACAACTTTGGCAACTTTAAATAAAAATAAATAAATAAATAAATAAACAAACAAACAAACTTTAAGACTTGACTTCAACTCCTAGAATTCCTCAGCCTGTTTTAATGGCTGAGGAATTCTAGGAGTTGAAGTCCACAAGTCTTAAAGTTGCCAAGGTTGAGGACCCCTGCTCTAGATGGCAAAATCCTAGAAACAGCATGGAAAGAATATACTAAAGAAGACAGAACAATGACATTTGGACAGAACGATGAAACACACTTATTCCCATAAGAGGCCTATCACCCACCCCATAGCCCAAGGCCTTGGGAAATGCCAGATTTTAAGGAACGTTTGAAGAAAGTGAGGAAACTGTTCCAGAAGGCAGTCACTGTGATGAGAAAGCAATTTCTGAGTCCCATTGGTACTGGGGTTTTTTTGTCAATCCCAGAATCATAATTGCAAATCTGTTTTATTTATGCACATAATGAAGAGAAGGACGAGGGGTGACACGATAGCAGTGTTCCAATATCTCAGGGGCTGCCACAAAGAAGAGGGAGTCAAGCTATTTTCCAAAGCACCTGAGGGCAGAACAAGAAGCAAAGGATGGAAATTAATCAAGGAGGGAAGCAACCTAGAACTAAGGGGAAACTTCCTGACAGTTAGAACAATTAGCCAGCGGAACAACCTGCCTCCAGAAGTTGTGAATGCTCCAATACTGGAAGTTTTTAAGAAGAAACTGGACAACCATTTGTCTGGAACGATATAGAGTTTCCTGCCTGAGCAGGGGTTGGACTAGATGACCTCCAAGGTCCCCTCCAACTCTATTATTGTTGTTGTTGTTGAACAAATGGATGCTATGGTATTGTAAAGCAAAATGACAAAATTTAGAAACAACTTTGCCTCTGTGAGTTGCTCAGGATACATGAAATTTCAAGCAAACAAAAAATAGGGCATGGTTACAATTTAATACTTTCTTAGAAATCTCTCCACTTGGCCAGAAAAACAGATAATAAATACCCTAGTTTTTTCATATGGCCATCCATTAATTTTATTTAAAACTCAAGCCTAATTCATTTAAGTTGCTCAGATTTCTTTTAGAAAGTACACTATTTCACCTCTAAAAGAACCCTTGGTTACTTGATTTATATCTCTTTATTCTAGCAAGACAGCTAATATAAAATAAAAGCAAAAACAATATATAAAAAATAAGAAATACAAATTAAAATTAATTTGGTGAAATAAATCAAATCCTGATGAAAGAGAAATCTGCACCCCACCCCACCCTTCATTTAGAGCACATTTAGAGCACTCAGCAACTGGCCTGCATTTATGGCTATTTGCAATGTTCCACAGTCACATGACTGTGATTTATGACATTTTTGCTGGGAAAGCAGTATTTACTTCTGCTTTCCAACAAAAAACATTGCACAGTGAACAATGGGTTTGCTTAACAACTATGGCATTCGCTTTAGAACAGTTGCAAAAAAAGGCCATAAAATCACATTGTTATGACTTACAACCATAACTGCAGGCTCAATTATGGTCATAAGTAGTAATCTCATTGAGAAGGTTACATCTAAGTCCCAGATTTGTTATGTCTCGTCTGTAAGGGAGAATCCTCCGTTTCACAAATAAACTGTTTCTCCCTGAACATTCAAACAGGTTTTATCCCAGCCAGAAACATTTGTTTCTAGTTTTTCAAATGCTCTGAAGAGCTGCTCCCAGGGGCTTTGTCAAATATTCTGAAGGCACCCAAGAATCGAGAAACAAGGGAATCTTTGCATTTTAAAATCAATATTTTATTTTACTTGATGTGCAAATAAATATTTTTTTTAAAAACTACATTTAAAGAATTGCAAAGCAAATACAAGCCAAAACCAATTTAAAAAAAAAAGCAAGAGATCCTTCAGAAAAACCGAAGAATTATTTTCGTGTCTTCTCTTCCGACTATTGACAGGTCTCTGTGGGTTTCATGTAGCCCTTGCTAACACCACATTGCGCGATGAGAAGGATACAAAGGAGAGAGTCTTGCTTTGTCCACTCAGATTATAAATTAATTGATTTATAAAAGGATGTGTAAAGATGGCCTTGAAAAAGTTTGAGGAAAAAGAGGGGAGGAAGGAGGGTGGTCTAGAAGGGGATAGAATTCTCAAACTTCACGATGCCCCCCCCAATCAAACACACATTAAGCCACAAGCTACCATTTAGTAGTAGTTTCGTAACAGAATTTGGCACAGGCAGTCATCTCTGCTCAGGTACAAGAGAAGACACAATTGAAGATCTGGGAGAAGAAGCTGCTGGAGACAAAGCTGGTAGAGCTGGGACTTCCGAATGCTGCTCAAGGCAAAATGGCCTCCCCTCCCTTGGCAACAAGGGAATTAGAGAAGAGAGGGGGAATACAACCGTCTATTTCACAAGTCAAAGAAAACCCCTAGGCACCAAGGACTTTCTGGAAACAGGGAGGGCAGTGACCCCTAATGGGAGACCCAGAGCTTCAGCACAAAACCCCCTAACCCTGCATCAGGGGATCTTTCCACTGAAAAGTCCAGCATCTCTGGACGTGCACCTCGTATCCAGAGATGGGACCTGCAAATCTTGTTGCCGTAAGAGGCACACGGATGAGAATGGCATAGGATGGCATACTTAAGTGAAGACAGCAGAGCCCGTGTGGGAGGGAAGACACCTTGAATCTTATCCAGGCCAAGTTTTAGATTAGACTTTTAAAAAAGGTTTTGAAGATGGGTGGAGAGAGAATACAAATCCCAACCTCTTATTCTTTGCAGGAAAACATGGACCGGTGGTTCTTGAAGAAATCTTGGGTGCTCCTTTTTTTAAAGGGGTGAAAGCCCTAGTTGTCCAGGGTGCAGCATCCACTTGGATAATTCTCTAAGTAAGAAGGTGCCAAGGTATACTGGCGACTCAGCCGTGCCACCCATAGAATTAGAACATAGGGGGAAAGTGAGCTAGAAAAGTCAAGGTTTCCACATTTGGTATGTTGTTTGCTGCTCAATGATACAAACAGGTCGCTGTTGTAGGTTCTTGAAGATCTCATCCCCAATTGGTAACAATTTTGGAACTTCTTGAAGAGCAATGGCCTGTCTCGTCTAATCCACTGACCTCTTCCCTCCTAGAGTTCAATCTCTCTCCTGGCCTACGCTGAAAGCCCCCACTTTAAATGAGAGCGAGAGCGACAGAAGCTGCCTCCATTCTGCTAGGGGTCCATTCTTTCTTGGACAAGCACACCCATGCTGCATGGGGTAGGGTAGGATGGGGAAGAAAATCATCACAGCCCCGAGTGGGACCCCAAATGATAAAAGCTGGTTGGATAAATACCAGTGATACATACATTGTCTTCCCAGTCCATGAGGGCCACTGGAATTTGGGGGTGGGCGGGCGGGCGGGCGGGCGGACTGGAAGTCAGGGCGAGGAAGGCTGGCGGCTGTACTGCACGTGATAGCGGTTGACAGGCACCCCATGTACATTGACAGTCTCACAAGTTGTCTTGCAGGGCAGCAGGTCCTCATCCTCATCGCCCATCAGCCAGTCCTGGACCATCTCGGCTGCTTCTCGGTTGACGTGCCTTGCAAGCCAGCGCTGGTGCCACTCTTCAAAGCGCTGGTGATGCCGCAGCAAGACTCGAGGGGCCGCCTGCAAGAGAGACGGGGGAAAAGGGGTGGGATCACAAGTGATCTGGGAGCTTAAGTCTCTCTAGCAGGCCGCTGCCCAAATGGCCCGCTCCAGAAGGCACACCTGTTTGGCTCGAGACAGCGCTCCCCGACGATACATGTAGTCTTCAGCGTTCATGATGAAGAGCATCTTGTGTGTGTTCAACTTGAACTTGCAGTCCACATTGCAGGCACTCTCCACACCGATCAGCTGCTTCCAGGAGCTTTTCGCTTTGTCACGCATGGCCTGGATCTGCTGGCACTGCCATCGCCGGAATTTGTCAAGGTTCCTGAGAGGGGAAAAGAGGACAGACCTCAACCTGGGTTACTTTGGGGGAAGGAGGCAGCAGGGGAAAAGGGGGTGCCCCAATCACTCTTCTTCAAAGCTCTTCGAAACAGATAGTCTTTGATTACGACTGATGGCTTAGGACAGGGGTCTTCAAACTTGGCCCTTTTATGACTTGTGGACTTCAATTCCCAGAATTCCTCAGCCAACGTGCCTGCCTGAGGAATTCTGGGAGTTGAAGTCCACAAGTCATAAAAGGGCCAAGTCTGAAGACCCCTGGCTTAGGATCATTTGAAGTTACAATAGACCTCCTAAAAGGTGCTTATGCCTCTCCCAGGTCACACAATCGCATTTTGGGTGCTTGGGATTTGTGGCTGTTTGCAGCATCCTGCATTTACATGACTGTGATTCATGATGTTTTTGCCAAAAAACAGGGCTTACTTCCAAATTTTGGCAAAAATGCCCTATAGCAAACAATGGGTTTGCTTAGGGATTACCACAAAAAACAGTATCAGTCACTTGATGACACATTTTACGACTTTCTCAACTTATGACTATAATGGGCAGGCCCCATTGCAATTATAAGTACAGGGGAATTCTGATCACCTTTCAGCCAAAATGCAAGCCATATTTTCAAGGAGCAAGGCAGAAAATACTGTTAGGTCTGAAACTATGTCCACACAGACTTATCCTTCTATTCATTTCTAGAGTAAGCAATGTTATGCAAAAAATGGAAAGGAAATTAAAGGTTTGAGATCAGAAAAATATAGCTAAACTAGCTTACACCAAAATAATAAATTGTACCTCTTTGGTCTTTGGAGTGGAGTGGAGTGGAGTGGAATGGAATGGAATGGAATAGAATAGAATAGAATAATAACTTTATTGTCACTTTGAATGTACACTAATCGGCATAAAATAAAATGAATTTTTTTTGCATACAGCTCTCAAATGGTCACCACCTCCAATATACACCACATAAATATGACAAAAATAAATACAAAATTATGCATATACCCACATATATTACACAGAGAAACAACACAGTCTAGTTCGGATTATGTATACATGTGCATGGCGAGAAAAATGAATCTTGCAAGTTTACCAGACGGACGGCATAGGGAACAAAGCTATTACAGAATCTGGTAGTCCTGCTAGAAATACTTTGAAACCTCCTCCCAGAGGGGAGCAACAGAAACAGACCGTAAAGTGGGTGTGTGGGGTCTCTAACAATGCCAGGCACACCTTTTCAAGGTCCCATTCCCACTGCATTCTGTTTCTTTTGACACTCTCAACATCCACTTCCCTATAACGAAGTGAGCAGAACCATGCTCTTATACAAAGTTGTTTTCAATTTCTGAAACATACATTCACTCCTGTCATCAGAGTACAAATTACCCACTACAAAGTGTGTGAATTCTTTAGAGGTGTCTGTAATCCTGTAGTAGTATGAGAGTCAATGTGATCAAAACTTCGTCTAAGTCAGTGTTTCCCAAACTTGACAACGCTGGCTGTGGAATTCTAGGAGTTGAAGTCCTCATGCCTTAAAATTGTCAAGTTTGGGAAACACTGGTCTAAGTCTTATTAATCAACAATTTCAAGCAGATTCACTTTATAATGCTTTCCCTAAACCAATTTCCCAAACTTGACTGGCTGGCTGGGAAATTCGGGGATCTGAAGTCCACTCCTACATTTTTGCAGCAATCACTCACTTAGATATTGTTTTCCTCACTTGTAGTATTTTTCACTTCATCATTCCATCAAGGGTCATTTTTCATATTTCTGGTTAGCACATCTAACTAACAGCAGAATGACAGAGGATGGAAAACAATGGAAAAAGAGCCACTCACCTCTGCAGAAAGACCGGCTTTAAGAGGAAGCCTTCATTCTGACTGCTCGGGGTCCCTTCCACTCCCACATACTGCTCCACATAATTAGTCAAATGCTGGAGGAGACAAGACAGCCAGTTGCTTTCTTCTCCGATACAGGAAATCTGAAGTAAATTATCCCTTTCTGCCCTCCTGGGAATGTTTTGTTCCATGCATTCTCCAAGGAACATGAGGTCACGTTCATCTTCGAAGGAGGGGAACAAGGTTAGAATTACCTGGACTTCTGTGGGGTCTTCAGCTTGAGTCTCTTCTGTATCCAAAAGTTCAATGGTCATGATCACTTGGTCCTTCCTTTGAAGGAACATCACCTGTGAAAAAGAGGCAGCATGCAAAACAGAGGCCCAAAAGAAGCTGTCCTCACCCGTAGGCACAAAGGTGAGACATCTCCCCCAAATGCTAATTCCCATACATTCCCACCCCCAAATGCTAATTCCCATTCTCATTAAGTGGGTAATAAAAATAGGCTACCTTTAAAAGTTCAACAGAGGAGAGAAGATATTGTCAATGTTGGAATCAACCCTCCCCAACTTGGTAACTTTCAGATTTACTGGCTTTCAGTTTTGATCATATCAATTGGAAACTGAAGTCCAACCTATCTATCCATCCACAGCTGTGGGAAGGCAAAGTGTGGAAGCTTGTTTTGGGAAAGGGGCTGCTGTACCTTGAAGCAGTTCTCATCGGCCATGCAACGTTCCGCCTTCCACTGGTAGCTGGTCTCCTTTGCGGCTCGTACACATTGCGAAGACAGATTGCCACCAGCCGCGCCGTGCTTTCGCTCGCTCAGATACAGCTCCACAACTTTCAGACAGACATCATCACTCACCAAGTGATGCAGCTGTTGTCCCAGAACAAGCAGATGTGGAGGAGAGAGAGAAGCAGAAAATACCAACATCAAGTAGGGCACAAAGGCCACAAAATGGTCCAGCACCTGCAACCTCATTTAGGACAGCTTAACCAGAAACACATTAATCTAACTTATTGCTAAACAGTTCAACATAGAGGTAGACCTTGAGTTATAATCATAGTTATAGCCATCAGTGACTGAAGTTACCATGGTGCTGAACAAAGAAACTGACTGATCTCAAAGTTCCCCCATCATCATGTAAATAAAATTTGGTCACATGACTACCATTTTCCACCTTCCCTATTGGCTTCCCACAAGCAAAATCAATGGAGAATATAGTAGTAAGGATGCAAATCACTCAGATAAGTCTAACCTCACTGTCCTTTCTTCACTCACATACATTCTGCCTCCCTCCCTCCACTCATCGCATGCACCGCATCCTCCTTGCTCCCTTTGCATTCAGCCTAAAAGCCTTCCCTCCCCCTTCGCTTGCACACATGCCTTCAGCTCCGGCCTTCGCAGGTCATTCCTGTGCTCACGCACACGCATGTGCCATCCTTCTCTGGCCTTCCTACACTGACATGCATCCTTGCACCATCCTTCCCCAGTCTTCCTGAGCTTACACCATGCACACATTGCAACACTCCCTGCCTGATCTTGTGCAGCCTGCGCAGGGTCTCCCACATCAACCCACCACTATGCCCCACATTCCATATCTGGGGCTCTCTACGTTTGTCATGTAATGACCCACAGATCTTGGGGTTAAAATGAGGGGAAAAAATATTGGATTCCTTGCTGATTTTGTATGTTTGCCCACTGGCAAAGAAATGATCAGTCTATCATTTTAATGGTAGGTTTATTTTAACAGTGAGAGACAGAATAACAACAAAAAAATCCAGAAAAACGCATTTCAAAATGTTATAAATTGATTTTCATTTTAATGAATGAAATAAGTATTTGATCCTCTATTAACCAGCAAGATTTCTGGCTTCCAGGTGTCTTTTATACAGGTAATGAGCTGAGATTAGGAGCACTCTCTTAAAAAGAGTGCTCCTAATCTAAGCTTGTTATCTGTATAAAAGACACCTGTCCACAGAAGCAATCAATCAATCAGATTCCAAACACTCCACCATGGCCAAACCTTGGCTCAGGAATTCTGGGAGTTGAAGTCCACGAGTCATAAAAGAGCCAAGGTTGCCTACCCCTGGCCAAGATCAAAAAGCTGTCCAAGGATGTCAGGGACAAGATTGTAGACCTACACAAGGCTGGAATGCCAAGCAGCTTGGTGAGAAAGTGACAACAGTCAGTGCGATTATTCGCAAATGGAAGAAACACAAAATAACTGTCAATCTCCCTTGGTCTGGGACTCATGGAGTTTCAATGATCATGAAAACGGTGAGGAATCAGCCCAGAACTACACGGGAGGATCTCGTCAATGATCTCAAGGCAGCTGGGACCATAGTCACCAAGAAAACAATAGGTAACACACTATGTCACGAAGGACTGAAATTCTGCAGCACCTGCAGGGTCCCCCTGCTCAAGAAAGCACATGTACAGGTCCGTCTGAAGTTTGCCAATGAACATCTGAATGATTCAGAGGAGAACTGGGTGAAAGTGTTGTGGTCAGATGAGACTAAAACCGAGCTCTTTGGCATCAGCTCAACTCGCATGTTAGGAGGAGGAGGAATGCTACCTGTGACCCCAACACCATCCCCACCGTCAAACATGGAGATGGAAACATTACGCTTTGGAGGTGTTTTTCTGCTAAGGGGACAAGACAACTTCACTGCATCAAAGGGAAGATGGATGGGGCCATGTACCCTCAAATCTTGGGTGAGAACCTCCTTCCCTCAGCCAGGGCATTGAACATGAGTCAAGGATGGGTATTCCAGCATGACAATGACCCAAAACACACGGCCAAGGCAACAAAGGAGTGGCTCAAGAAGAAGCACATTAAGGTCCTAGAGTGGCCTAACCAGTCTCAAACCTTAATCCCATAGAAAATCTGTGGAAAGAGTTGAAGGTTTGAGCTGCCAAATATCAGCCTCAAAATCTTAATGACTTGGAGAAGATCTGCAAAGAGGAGTGGGACAAAATCCCTCCTGAGATGTGTGCAAACCTGTTGGCCAATTAAAAGAAACGTCTGACCTCTATGATTGCCAACAAGGGTTTTGCCGCCAAGTATTAAATCATGTTTTGCGAAGGGGTCAAATACTTATTTCACTCATTAAAATGCAAATCAATTTATAACTTTTTTGAAATGTGTTTTTCTGGATTTTTTTGTTATTATCCTGTCTCTCACTGTTAAAATAAACCTACCATTAAAATTACAGACTGATCATTTCTTTGTCAGTGGGCAAATGTACAAAATCAGCAGGGGATCGAATAATTTTTTTCCCTCACTGTACATTGACAACTGGGACTGCCTAGATTGCCATCACTAAGCAATGTGGCCATGTGACTTTATCACTGCACTGCGTAGTAATGGCAATCCTGGTCCCAACTGCTGTCATAACCCAAGGACTATTGGTAATGCCAAATGGAGCAGCATTTCTGAATGGCCTCAACTGGACATAGGTAACAATTTTAGTTTTTCCCTCATGGACAAAGTTCTCAAATTGTACCATGAAATCCTGAATACCTCAGAGCAGGCCCAGCCTTACAAACTAATAACAGAGCTCACCACAAACAAAGGGGCTGTCTGGGATGTTATTTCTGCACAAGAGGTTCAGTAGGGGCCAAATTATAACAGGCCCAAAGCAGATACCAAAACAGTCTCTCATAGATCTTCCCCACACCCTGGACAAGGATGCAGTTACCTGTCGGACAATGTTTTGTACAAGCTTGTCCATGGTAAAACCAATGTAGGCATGGATGGTGAACATCTCTCTCAAGGTGTCCTCATATTGAGTGGGGTCAATGTTGCCATCCAGCAAATTCCTCACCAAGTCTAGGAAAGCTGGGTAATATTCCTCCAGCTCCACTTCACCTGGGGGAAGAACAGGAATCAGACACCCCGTGGAAAAAAGAGAACTGCTTGAACGTCTCTGCAGGAAAGTGTGGGGCGCTCAGACAGATGCCAAACCAGTTTCCATGCTTATCTGTGCGCCAGTGATTTGAGCGATTTTATGTAAGGGACACCAAGTGTTTAAAGGATAGCCTATCACAAGGATTCGATATGCCACATTCTGTAAGTGAATGATAGGACTTGCTCTAAGGCAGTGTTTCTCAGCCTTGACAATTTTAAGGCATGTGGATTTCAACTCCCAGAATTCCACAGCCAGCATTGCTGGCTGTGGAGTTCTGGGAGTTGAAGTCCACATCCTTAAAATTGTCAAGGTTGAGAAACACTGCTCTAAGGCCCTTGCCAAGCTGCTCTTCTCTGCTGTTGGACAACTTGATTAGAGAACCGTTATACAACATAGTGACCTCTAGTGGCCAAAAGATGTATTGGAGGTGTATTGAAGAATGACAGGGATACCTGGAGCTGGAATGGACGTTTTGGTGTTTTCCAGATATTCTGGATTTCAACTGCAATATACTATGTCAGTGCCAATATCCAGCACATTGAAGGGCTCCAGATTGCCTCCTCCTGTCTTACAAAAACAAACCCTTCCATTCCAACCATGATTCAGCTTCTTAATCTTTTCCTGATTTCAAATAACACAAAAGCCTTTTTCTCCAAAAGGGGACCTCATGATTCGCAAACATTTAAAAATATAGTGAAACCCAACTGAGATCAGAAAGGATGTCTATTCTTTCCAATGTCCATTAAACCATCAAATACGCAAATGACATATATCGATGTGAACGTTCATTTAAAATTCTTTAAAATCTTTCTTAAGTGCCAGACTACTTTGGAGACAACAGAAATCCTAAGGGGCGATTATCCAGATGGTAATTTTGCCCACTGCATCTGAAGTCCGCTAAACAGAGATTTAGAAAATAAAAATGTCTCTAAAATAAATGTAATATAGGCAACCAATCCATCAAAACTATTAAGGCAAAATCAGATACAATGCAAGCAAACTCAAAGACCAGGTGAAACGCGAAACTTTCCAGGGGAAAACCCTGCAAACTTTTAGGGAAAGGAAAGCTTCTACTACTGGAAAAGGCTACCCATCTTTTTTATCTGAACCAGGCATATAAAGAACTAAATTCCATTTACCAATAAAGTCTAGTTTCCTACTTATTCTTTTATAAAGCATTCAAAAATCTGCAGCTTGGAATTGAGTTGCTGTCCATAAATTGGGGAAAGACGAGATGAGAATAGCTGCTGCCTTTAGGCCTCAAAAGATTTCTAATCTGGAAATGCCTCAAAAGCCACCGAGGTTTCTCAGATGCACCCTAATCACAAGGCAAAAAAAATATATCTGCAATTCAACCCACAACAATTCAGTAATCACACCAGGAAAACAGAGTAGAAGTTTTGAAAAAATAATTTGCAGGAGAGCTAAATTTTCAGAGGAGTCTCTGCCCATTGGTGAGGATTAGTGGAGTGCAGTGATGGTGAACCAACGACATGTGTGTCAAAGGTGGTATGCCACGACGTTTTGGGTGACAAACTAGCATTCGCCAACACCCAGTAACTATTCTCAAAAGCATGCTCCATGTTCTCACACAGCCTCCACTAGAGGGCTGTTTTCTCTCTCTCTCTCTCTCTCTCTCTCTCTCTCTCTCTCTCTCTCTCTCTCTCTCTCTCTCTCTTTCTCTCTCATTCTCTCTCTTTTTCTCTCTTTGTAGGGGGTGTCTCTGGAGCCTAAGAAAGCCACATCAAAATGGAGCATTCTTTTGCACAGTTTTCAGAGGCTGCAGCCACGGGACAGTCTTCTCTGAAGCTGCTCCAAGAACAAAGACTTCATGCGACCCAGAACAGCCTCGGTAGACTGCGGGGGCCTTTCACCCCCTGAAAATAAGCAGCGTGTGGGGATCCTGAGGAGTGCTGGGCCACAGAAGCAATTGCTCTGTCCCCCCAGGTTTATGCACCTTGGGGAACGGCGTGAGACAGCCTGTCCGAAGGGAAGCAGAGGTTGCCAGGGCTGAAGTTCCTTTTGTTCATGTGTGTGAAACACTGGCAGGCATTTTCTGAATTTTTGACCCGTTGAGCTCAAAATGTTTGCCATCACTGACTTAATTTCGATAGAAAAGAATATCTGTAGCTCAGGATTGTAGTGTGGGGCCCCCTTGGTTCTCTCTGAGCTTGGTTGTGTTCTTGCAGACGTTTCATTACCCAGACTAGGTAATAGCTTCCGTTTTTGGTTTAATCTGTTTTGTATGAAACTGTCTATGCAGCAAATAGGAGAAAAAAAATCCATGCTCCTCCAGTGATAAAAACTATAATTTCCCCTAGAAAATGAAGAGTCATTTCAGTTTCTCAGATGCAATTTGCATCCAATAGGGTTCTGAAAAAAAATGCCAGCCTTACAACCCCTCATCATTCTATTTTTATGTATTATTTTTTTAAAAAAAAAAACACATCCCTATCTAATTCACACATACATCCTTCGGAAGTTTGTGTAACTGTTGGGAAACTACCAGCTAGGCTGGAATGAGGGATCAAGTGAGGGGTCTACGGCAATTTGCCACGGCCAACTCGTCGCAGTCAACTTGCTGCAGGACAAGAGTTACATGAATATCGAAAAAAATAGTGGAATAGAATCACTGAAGAAAGGATGCCAAAGGAGGGACAGAATGAAATGTGAATGGCCAAAATTAAAATATTTTTTTATTTATTTTAAATAAATAGAATTGTTAAATTGTCCCGCAGCAAGTTGTCCCACAGTATGAGTTGGCCATAGCGAGTTCTCCTGTAGCGAATTGGCCGTGGCAAGCTGGCCCATTCCATCAAGTGAGGCCTAGAGCAGTGGTGGCGAACCTCTGGCACGGGTGCCAGAGGCGGCACTCAGAGCCCTCTCTGTGGGCACACGTGCCGTTGCCCCAGCCTTGCCTCCCCCCACGACCCCCTCCTCTCCAGCAGCCCCCCTGAAGGAGAGTCGCCCCCGAGCATGGCCCACACGGAGTAGTGCAGGCAAGGACATGGCAGCCAAGCAGCGTAGACAAGACTCTGCCCTCACACCCCATCATGCAGTTGATGCTGCAGGGTGCGGGTAGAGGGTGTGGTTGCCATAGCACTACTGGGCTGCCTGGGCGATCTGTGGAGGGCCCTGGAGGTGGTGAATGGTCCTGTGGACAAGCGGGGTGGGGGATGGGGGGAAGAGTGGGGGCGGGGCAGGGGTTGGAGCGGGGGCAGGGCCAGTTTTTGGGCACTCGGTCTCTAAAAGCTTCGCCATCACTGGCCTAGAGTCCTTCTGCAGCTGCCAGAGGCATCACCTTGACCTCCTCCAAGATCTATGAAACCATATCTGGTTGTTCCAGGGGAAGGCAAGCAGCCTCGGGAGATTTTTGTAACTTAGACAGAAAACAATGAAGCCGCTTCCTTTATCTATTTGCAAAGGGCTCTCCCCACTTGTGCCTGAGAGCAACCAATGTTCACGGGTTCTCCCCTCTTCCCTCCACCCAAACTCTTTCGAGATGCTACCGGCGAGGCCGACTTACTCGGTTGCTTCAGCCTCAGCTCCATGGCAGGGTCATTGGCCCGCTCCTTCCGGCCTTCGCACAATAGCTTCTCTCTCTCTTTTTCTGTCCGATACTCCAGCAGCTGCTTCTGTGCCTGACGGTAAATCTTGAGGAGCCGCGAGCAAAGAGTCTGATGAAGGCGAAGGAAGAAGTACCAGTTGTTATTGGCAAAGAAGAGGGTATAGACGTTGTCCAGGGTAAGGTGGGAACGAGCGGAAGGCACAATGCTTTCCAGACTCCCTTTGTCCTTTGCAGGGCTGGCAGGAGGTGCTGGGGGGTTTCTTTTGCGCAGTTCGTGGCCCTCCAAGGCAGATGGCTTCTCCTCCATAGGGCTCGCAGGCAGGCCGGGGGGATTCCTCTTTCTCAGCTCATGGGCTTCCACCAGGGTCGATCCCTTATCCTCCATAGGGGTCGTCTGTGAGCCAGGCGCATGCCTTTTCCGTAGATCGCGTGTCTCCACCGGGTGAGCCTTGGGGCTCCCCTTTTCCTCGCTGGGCAACTCTTCAGGAACTGGGTGCTCAGGCATCTGGGAGAAAAACAGGTCCGGGATGAAGTGATGGACAATCTGTCGAATAGTAGCCTGGTCCTCCTTTTGGATGGTGGGTTGCCGTTTCACATAGTAGCTGACTAAGGCAGCTGCGTCATCCAGGATCTGCTTGTCTTCATAGACAAAGATGAGATGCGGCTCGTTAGTGGCTCCCCTCCCCTCCGAGTGTTGCTCCTGGTGCTGGAAATACACATAGGAGAGATCAGTGAGAGAATCAGGGCTCCCTGTTCCACCCCTAAGAGAAGCCCCGATGCTTACCTCATCGTAGACGCTCTCAATCTCATTCAGCAGGCTCTTGGAGCGCAAGGCTTTCGTGTCGTTCTGCTTGAAGTTTGCAGCCTGGTGGTCAAGAGACTTCAGGTAGGCCTTCTCATACTGCTCTCTCCAGATCTTGTTGAAGCCCTGCTGAGCTTCTCGCCACTCTTCTTCCTTGGCCTTCAGCCTGGAACAGAGCAGATGGCGCTGAACTTGGAAACCAAGCATAAATACAAGACTCCAAAGAAATGCTGCTTCCAGGCCCAGCAACCAGAGAATTTTACATAGGAAGTGTCATGCACGCTGTTATATTACGGCAAGCATTTCAAATATAATCTCCAGGGAGAGCAAAAGGACGGGAACTATTTCAGTAAGTTACTGTACCTCCCCCCCCCCCAAGGCTAGAATCTTTTAGATGTGTTGGAATCCCAACTTGCAGAATCCTCAGCCAGCCACGCCACAAAATAGGCTGGTTAGGAATTCTGGGTGTGGCAGTCAGGTTGGGGGTAAATTGAATAGATTGAAAAGGAAGTGTGCAGTGGTCACCTCTTCAGAATAACAGGGAGGGCAGTGATAGGGTTCTTCTTGAGGCTCTCAATGATCTCTGGGGCTTTGTCACCGTAGATACGGTAGATGGCCCGGCGCTGGATCACTTCTGACGTGCCACCAAGGCAGTCGTCCAACCGGAACTTCTCTTGATCCTCCTGCGACATGCGGGTCAGTTTTTTCTGCACACTTTCTAAGACACGGATGGTCGCCAAGTTGGTCTCTAAGACAACATCCAGCTGCAAAAAGAAAGCCAAGAAACAGAAAAGAAACAAAAGGAGGGAATCTCCTTTATCATGAACAATTCTTTGCAGGAAATTAAGACAATCCAGCCCAAACACCCACGAGACAGTCACAGCAGACAATTAAGCCATTCCCACCCAAACCACCAAAATAGCCTGCCAGCTATTATTACAATTATTTATTAGTCTTGTTACAGCTGCTCCACTCCAAAAGAGTCATTGTGCCACAATGCCTAACAATCCCAACCAAACATGGCATGAACCAATGTACTTTAACAACATCTGGGCGCCCATATGGTGAACCCCCGTGCTAAAATGTAATAGTGACATATAAACTAGTTCATTTGATGTATGAACCATTATCTCGAATTAATAATATATTTATCTATACCTTTGAAAGAGAAAAAATTTTTATAAACAGTGAACTCAAGAAATTGTTAACAATGACTGTTATCAAAAAGATACTGGGGGATAATGCAGATTTTTTTTTACTAAAGAGTCAAATAATACACACAGAATGATTTTTTTTAAAAAAAATCCTTGTTCTTATTCAAGGATTGTGAGTTATGACAGAACAAGATTTGTTAAGCTCCACTGTTTGAGTAGGTCCATGCAAAGGTCAATAATGCTACACCAGAAGTTAAAATGTTCCTGAAATGTGAATAGTATATTTCCCACTGGAAAATCAGTAGATAATTCTCAGCACTGCAGATTAAATGAAGGTTCTGTTATGTTAACTGATACTATTAATTGCCAGAATGGATCTGGATCCAGAACTAGCATCTCAGGCCACTATAGAACTTGATCATGATTGGATCTTGGTTCATGACTGCTCTTGCTAGTAAATAACTATTTTGATACACTTGTAATCCAAGGTATGTTATGCTCCAAGTAGACTAGATATCATTTATAATGCAACTGGTTTCAATTGAAAACAGTATACAGGTCGTCCTCACAAAAATTAATTTAGTGACTATTCAAAGTTACAACAGCATTGAAGAAAGTGACTTATGACCAGTGTGCATATAGCTGCAGCATCCTCAGGGTCATGTGATCAAAATTTGGGTGCTTGGCAACTGGCATGTATTTGTGACAGTTGCGCTTCCGACAAGCAAAATCAATGGGGGAAGCCAGATTCATTTAATATCTGTGTGATTCACTTAATTGCAGTGATTTGCTTAACAACTATGGCAAAAAGGTCATAAAGTGGGGCAAAAGTCATTTAACAACTGCCTTGCTTAATAACGGAAATTTTGAGCTCAATTCTGGTCATAAATAAAGGACTACTTGTATAACAATTAACTTCCTTGAGTGGAAAGGGAGGGGTGCTATGGTACTTTCCATCCAAGTAACCAACTTTGTGGATGTATTCGCTTTACTAAGTTGATACTGTAATCTGCGAAATGGTAAGAAATGACAAATCTTTTAGAGTCTTTCAGTTAAGTAGGAGATGGCAACCCTATAAAGCTAATTCTCAAGCAGAGCTTCCTTCCACAGAACATGCTAGGAAAACATAGAAGAGGACATTGACTAAAAATGTCTCTTCTGGTCCACTAAAAATGTCTCTTCCGGTCCATAGATAAAAAAGAAAAATAGAAATACAGTATTTAAACTCTGATTACCGTTAATCAGTCTTACATCCATTCCCAGCTTTCGGACCGAAAACTTAGCAAGGTTCACCTATTACAGAATCATAGGGTTGGAAGGGACCTTGGGGGTCTTTTAGTCCAACTCCCGTACCCAAGGCAGGAGATTTGGTATGGTTCTGACTGAGAATGAAGTATGAACTACTGGTAGATGTTAGATTCTGGTTTATCACTTGCTGCAAAGCCTGAGCTGATCCAGTTATGTTTTACTGCACAAACCACAATTAACAGAATCATAGCTTGGTATGAACCCAGTCACTGGCAGCTCCTACCAGCAGTAGCATTCCAAGATCCCAGGCAGAGAGGCCTTTTCTGCTTTTGCTACCTGTAGAAGCTGGGGATCAGATGTGGGACTTTCTATGCTCAGTTTCTGACCAAAAGGACAGTTAACAACTATCAGATGAAGGAGACACACCTCGAAGCGTTCATCTTCACATCGATGTAGCTGCTCCTCATAAGGAGTTTTCTTTGAGCTGACAAAGGTTGAGTCTTCAGACCAAGATGGGAAGGAGACCCAGGTGTCATTTAGCACCTGTAGAATTTAAAGCACACACTAAATCAGCCGGATCTTTTGAGCATCTTCCTACGGGGTCCTGTTCTCCAGTGTCTGATGAATCCCCTTTGCCTTCTACTCCCCATTCTACAAGAGATTGTAAGCACTACCTACCTCCTTGCAAATAGCTGTCCTGCCACTGCATTTGGGTTGCTGGTAAGTCTTGGGGAGGGCTCTGTAGCTGGAACCAATACGCTTGCAGGAAGCATAGTCAATTTCCCGGCACATCCCATCCCCGGAGCGATCACTCATTGGGGAGGCAAAAGAGAGCTCCTTCACTCCCAGGAATGACTTGAATTGAGCAAAGAGTTCAGGGAATTTCCTTCAAACACACAAACAAGCAAACATAGGCTAGAAACTGACAGGTTTAAAGAGGTAATAGAATCTTTTTTTGAGGAAGAGCACACTGAAAAGTAACAGCCTGCCTTTCAGCACTAATCACGACTAGAAGAAGAAGATAAACAGCAGATATCATTTCTCTAAGATGAGCGCAGACAACCATCTTTCTTCAGGAGATAATTTACTTTATCATCATCGTCAATTTTTCTTTGAATGGACTGTAATATCACTGAAAAGGGCATGGTTGAATGTTTATCTCCTTAACGATTTTATCTTGTCCTTAAAATATAAAAAAAAAAAGGTCACTGAAATTTCAACTCGGCTGCCTTGGGGTTTTCTAGGAGGAATGGAAATATGGAGCTAAGTGGTTCATGCTCTAAAACTGCCCATTTTTCCTAGATCTGTTAAAACAAGAGAAAGCTGTAACCATGAAGCACTTCACGTAACCGCTTTATACAACTGTGGCAACTGTGTGCAATTTCTTGAGTTGCCTGCACTTTGGTGGCAAAATCTGTAAAATGATTACTGCATTCTCAAAGTTACATAACAATTGCAATGATGCAGCTGTCAACGGCACAATATACTGCTTTATTATTTAAAAATCATGGGATCCACTGAGTTCATAACTATTTATTCCAGTGAATTAACTGCAGCAATTCTCAGTGTGAGACTGTCGTCTCATGCATATTAATAATTTGACAAAAATATTCCTCCATGCTGTCAGGAAGAGATTATTTGGGAGACACACTCTCTCTCTCTCTCAACAGCCTAAAAGCAGGGCTGGGCAACTAGGGCAACTTTATGACTGGTGGACTTCAACTCCCAGAATTCCTGAGCCGGCATGGGAACTGAGTTCGGGAGCTGAAGTCCACAGGTCATAAAGTTGCCATAGTTGTCCAGCCCTAGTCTAAAGAAACAAAGCTCCAAATTGAACATTAGTCTTTCTTACCCCAAAAAGGGTGTGATCAGCTGAAGCAACTCAGAGCCAGAGACCAGCTCTTGGTTGAAGAGAGCAATGCAGCGGAGGAAGTTCTCATAGACTTCTTGGCTCTTGAGGACTCGGCGTACCTAGCAAAACAGTCATGAGAGGGAAATGGCACCTTCTGTTTGCCAGGCACCAGCTGACAACAGACCCACTGAAACGGCAGATTATAATCTGGCAGTACAATCTGGGGAACTGCTTTAATCGAGCTAGTGCAGTTTGCTATGAGTTTTAGGGGGGGCTCTTCCCAGGACTCCTTTTGCATTTCAAGGGTAAGTCTTGGTTCGTGAAGTACAGCTCTGTTCCCACCAGAAATAAACAGACCTTGTCAAAGAAAGAAAACTCCTGCAAAGTGCCGTATTTGCCCACGGTCGCGACGGACAGGTCCTTGGTCCCACGCAGCTTCATCTTTTTCTGTTGGGAGCATTTTACAAGTAGGAGCAGCTTAGAAGCTTAGCACTTAGAAGCAGCTCTTTACCTGTTTTCACTTTTCTTGACATTAAGACCCCAAAGGAAATACAGGTAGTCCTCAACTTATGCCCGCAACAAATTTCTGCCGTTAAGTGAGACATTTGCTAAATGCGTTTTGCCCCATTTTACGACCTTCCTTGCCACAGTCGTTAAGTGAATCACTGCAGCTGTTAAGTTGGTAACAAGGCTGTTAAGGGAATCTGGGTTCCTCGTTGATTTTGCTTGTCAAACGGTTGCAGAAGGGGATCACGGGACGCTGCAACTGCCATAAATGGGAACCAGTTGCCAAGCATCTGAATTTTGATCATGTGACTCTGGGGATGCTGTCTTAAGTGTGACAAATGGTCATAAGTCACTATTTTCAGTGCCATTGTAACTTTGAATGGTCACTAAACAAAGTTGTAAGTGTTGTAAGTCAAGGACTCCCTGTTCTTAGCAACTGGTTAACATTTGCATTCCCTAAAAAGCAAAAGGGTAACACTGTCCATCATAGGCTTCTGCTACTCCACCCAGTCACACTTACATAAAAATAGAACTGGTAAAAATGGATTTAGACCAGTGTTTCTCAACCTTGACAATTTTAAGGCATGTGGACTTCAACTCCCAGAATTCTACAGCCAGCATTGCTGGCTGTGGAATTCTGGGAGTTGAAGTCCACATGCCTTAAAATTGTCAAGGTTGAGAAACACTGATTTAGACCAATGTTTCCCAACAACTTCTGCAGCTTTAAGATGTGTGGACTTCCAGCTGCCAGAATTCCCCACCCAGTAAGCTGGTGACTTAGGTGTAGACATGTTAAAAGTACTGAGGTTGAGAAAGTTTTTCAGTTCATAATTATCTTTCCTCCTACGAGATTATTTTTCTGTAAAGCTCAGAAATGTAGCTGAAAAGTACATTTTGTCGAATTATAGAGAACCTACTGCCGGTAATAAAAGATATTTATAACTGTGATAGTACCGTTTATAGAAAACTCCTAATGTAGGACAGATTTATTGGGGTGAAAAGTTTGGGGGGCTGGAGGCTCTCTCCTAACTCCTCTTTCAAATTAAATATGTCAGAACAGCTTTTGTGAGAAACAACCTGCCCGTCTTTAAACAATGCTACAGCTGATGGGCCCTGGGCGCTCTAGGATTGGTTGTTTTCTTGCAGACGCTTCATTACCCAAACTAGATAACACCATCAGTGTTTGTATTAGTAAATATTCTCCTTTATTAATTCTACAGATGGCTGGTTTTAGCTTAACAGGCCAGCATAGCTAAATATGTGGAACATTTCATGAGTTCAGCCATTTTTTGATGGAAATACCCCCTTTTCTTCTCAAGGACAGAACTAATCAGCCAGTTTCAGCTAGATGGGTCACCTAAACTCCACAGCCTTCAAAATCACTCCTGCCCTTTCCCCCAGTTCTGCATTTGGTTCAGATACCTTGGCTGGGCTGGGCCCAGGACGGAGCAACAGAGACCTGGACCGTTTCTTACTGTTTTCTAGATGTTTCTCATGATCCATTTTGGGGATACTGTTGGCGTCACATGGCCCATTCCCTGTAAACTAAACCAAAAGGGAAAGATGTTGGTTACTGTTTGCTTACTGGTCTTTGTTGGTTAATGTTTATTATTCAGTTTGCACTGTTTTTAAAGTTTGCTAGCTGTCCAGAGTTGTGTTTGACTAGTGGGGGGGCTATATAAATTAAGATAATAATAAATGAATGGGCAGGAAGGAAGATGGCTCCCTTTAACAAACTGTTGAAAGGCATCTCAAGCCAGAATTGGGGAACGGGCTGCTATGAATCGCTTGCCCCCACTCAGGGAAGGGACTGTTCTTATTCTTGTCCAAGGTAGGGACTAGCTGCCAAACAAATGGCATTTTCTCTGTGGGGTGGCTGGGGGCCATTTGACTCTCCAGAGCAATGTTTCTCAACCTTGACAATTTTAAGGCATGTGGACTTCAACTCCCAAAATTCCACAGCCAGCAATGCTGGCTGTGGAATTCTGGGAGTTGAAGTCCACATGCCTTAAAATTGTCAAGGTTGAGAAACACTGCTCCAGAGGTTTGAGGCTGCATCCATCTGCTAATGAATGATACATGCTGCCCTTCAGTCTGTACAGGAAATAAGCCAGAATCTTCCACCCAACCAAGAAAGCAGCTCTTCTTTGCACCCCTCCCGCTCAGCCTCCACATTTGACAGCCCACCTCCTCACAATGGCCACATCAGAGATTTAGCAAAGACATACCAAAGACCTCTTTGCCTCCGGAAGGAACTGTCCAAACTCAGACAGAAGATCTTCCTGGCCCCGGAAAAGATTTGCCACTTCAGTGAAGACCTCCTCTTCCGACATGCCTCGAAAAGGGCGGCCTTTTGTGCTTAGCTGCTCCTTCTGCAAGTTAACAAAATGTTTTTATTCATTAGATTTATATGCCACTTTTATTTTGTATAACTCAAGGCCACATACATAACACTTCCTCCTATTTCCCCCCAACAACGATGACCCTGTAAGGTAGACTGGCCCTGTGAGAGAAAATGACCGGCTTTAAGATCACTCAGCAATTTACAAGCCTAAGGGAGGACTAGTTTTTAGCCCAGAAAGCAATATCAAACTCTTTCTGTTGTGAAATGTTATGCTAGTTGTACCTGTTTGAAGCAAAACCAGCATCAATCTAGGATAGCATCAATCTCTTGTCTGGGCTAACTTATGCTCATTCCTAATAATAATAAACCCTTTATTATCAAAGTTTAACATGTATACAGTGAAATTGGCTGAGCCTCCCTCTGTGCCCCCCCCCCACAAACTCACGGTGACTACAAACCCCCAACTTATTTCACCCTGTGAACTAATTGCACATCACGCTGGCCTCACGAGTCTATCATGCTAAAGTTATAAAGTTATGTCCCATTCAGAAGCCTGACAGCCCATGGATAAAAGCTGTTCTTCAGCCTGTTGGTACGCCTGGCTATGTTTCTGTATCTCCTACCCGATGGTAGGAGAGTAAAGAGGTACCAACCAGGGTGTGAGTCATCCCTGAGAATTTTCCTCACTCTAGCCAAGGCAACGGGCCCTGGCGATGTCATCCAGTGGAGTCAGGGAACAGGTTAACAAAGGACAAATTTCCTCTCTTCCCATCACATATGCCGAAACAACAAACATTATAATGGTTTCTACACAATACACTTAGGACAGTGGCTAGGTTCCCAGAAAAGTACTCTATCTGATTTTACCCTAGTCAGGTGCAATAAGAACTCAGACAGACCCCACCCACTATCCACTACTGCTTTCTGGACTCATGGGGGGGCCCATCCTCCTTTACCTGATATGTGTGAAGGATCTCCAAGAAGGAACGATAGATTTCAGGGTGGTCAAGAAACCGGGTCTTGATTTTATTCACATAACTTATGGCATTGTTGAACTCCACTGAATCGGATTCCAGAGGCATCTGAACTTTATCATCCTTGCAGGGCTGTTGCTGCTGGCGGAAATCCTCTGGGCAGTCGCCATGGTTGTGGGTGTTCTCCTGGCAGTAATGCAGCATCAGACTGCTGCCAGAGAGAGGGTTCTGAACTGGCTCCAGGGATATCTGGGGAAATGCAAGTCACTGTGTGAGGAATTAATCCAGAATAAATTCTAAGAGTCATTCCCTTGGTAAATATAGACGTGAGGCCTACAAGTGCCCCTACCCGTTGTCCCGCAACACTGTTGTCTCAGTATCTGACTCATAGCAGGGAGTCAATAGGAAGCAAATGCTTGAATTGCTTGGATTCACAAAGCAAGAAACTATCTTTCCAGAGATAACAATAATGTTGGAATTTACCGACCATGGCTAGCTTGGATGATGTAGGATGAAATCCAAGGAAGGTCCCTGGGTTCACTGCAATTAACCTCATATTAGAATGAGCAATTACATTATTTTTAGAGGCTTTCCAGCAACATAAGAAGAGAAAGGCCCACCTCCCAAGTTCCTTTTAAATAGAAACATTTCCAACCTGGGTAAGCAAAACAGATGCTCTGCCCATTACAGTTAGATACAGACCTACTTTGGATGGCGATACTTGAGTGATCCTTTAGCATAAATGTCTATGGAGAGTCTCAGTCATCCAGGTCTTGAAAAAGGTGTTTTTTCAAAAGGCAACTGGACTTTGTTTTTCCTTGAAGACGTTTCGCTTCCCATCCAAGAAGCTTCTTGGATGAGAAGTGAAACGTCTTCAAGGAAAAACACAGAAATTCCAGTTGCCTTTTGAAAAACACCCAATATCGCCCTCACCTCTCCAAAGAAAGAGCAACTGCAATACTTGGACCTCTAATGCCTGTTCTTCTTTTTGGTTCTCTCGTGCTACTTGTATTCTTTTCAAGGAAAGCTGGACTGCTACTGTGCTCTCCTGCAAAGTCTCCTGGACCTAAGCAAGTAGCTCTGCTGGGAAGAGGAAGGGTTTCGCTGTTTGTGGGTGCTCTTGTGGTCCCAGGGAGAGGCGGAATCAAAGCAGCACTGTCACAATGGTCCAAGGATCAAAAACAAAGGCTGGGAAAGCTAAGCGAGAGAAGATCCATCTGCCTTCAACTGTCAGCTGCCGATACCAGGATAGGAATACTTAAAACATAATAAAGCTCTTTGTACCTGGCCAGTGAGAGGTGACTGGACATTCAGCTTCCCATTCTTTGGAATCTCTATTCGGTAACCCAGGGGCAAGAAAGCGTTGAAGCCGATGATGAGGTCAGGGTGTTCATGGAACAGCTGAGAAACACGTCTGATGACACCTGGAGTGTCAATGCTGGACCCAAAACAAGACATGAAGAACAAAAGTAGATGCTTAAATCTGGCAATGGAGAATGGATTTAGGAGAGATGGTGTTTGCTCCTTCTCCTTCCTAAAATCTCCCACAAGGCTCAGTGAGGGTTTCATGCTTAGTCAAATCAATCAAAGGAGGGAAGCAGGGAATGGATTCTCTTCGGTTCATGTTACCTCTGGCTCTTAAACTCCTTCATGATTTCCAAGAAACCGTTATATGTGGCGGGGTCACTACCAAAACGGATCTTCACTTGATCCAGGTAAGAGAGGGCATCTTCTACCTGCAAGAAATCGTAAGAGATATTGAAAGATCTCTCTCTCACACACACACACACAAATACCCAAAAAGGGAAGAAATGTAATGAACAGCAGGTAATTTTATTTTCTAAACTAGTTCCAATCCGAGCTGAGAGACATGAAAAAAGCAAAACAATGCCACCAGTTTTCAGGCCCTAGAAACATCCAAAATTTATAGCCAGAAAAATCTCCATTTTGCATTCAAAATGGATTTGAAAGGATTTAGATTTCCTTGCCAGTACTAAAGGCCAGAGAAATTGTATTTAGCTTGTGATGGGGCATGCTGGAAAAAAACACTGCACGAGGCAATTTTTGTGCAGCAATGGACTTTGTGGATGAGGCACCGTATCACGAATGATTGGCTTATTTAACAAAATGGGCATGGGTCACCAAGTGCACTGTCACATGGAATTGGTTTGCCTTATGGGCAATGCCAAAAGATTATTTTTTCTTGGCTATCAGACAATATATCAAACAATTATTCTTATATTTCCAGATGGCCTATTGCTCTGCCTCAATATCCCCTACCATTAACCAGTCTTTTATTTATTACCACAAAGAGAGCCAGTTCTGCTGCCAAATACTTTTGTTTTATAAGACAGGAGACAAGTAGAAGCCAATTCATAAATGTACAGGTGCCCATGTATATGGTCTAAAGCAGTGGTTCTCAACCTGTGGGTCGGGACCCCATTTGGGGTCAATCGACCATTTCACGGGGGTTGCCAAACAAGGCTGTCCGCCATTTTTTTCCCCTTTTCTTTGGCCACGCCCCTGGCACCCGGTGATGTATAAGTGGTTGGGGGTCACCACAACATGGGGAACTGTATTATGGGGTCGCGGCATTAGAAAGGTTGAGAACCACTGGTCTAAAGTCACTCCCAGAGAAGATGGGCTCAACATAAAAAATCTTGGGACTCAAAACTGGCTCAATAAGCACCCTTTCGGAGTGGTGATACAAATTTTGGTGCTCTCCAGATGCATGAGATGGTAACTATCCTAATCCTTTGACACTCACTATAGTTGATTCTTTTCATACAAGTGCTCGGTATTCTCCAGTGTACATTAGGGAAGGGACTCACCAGTTTAAATTTTTAAACCATACCTCAGAGTGCCTGTTCTCTTTCTAACCAGAAGGACAGATTCTGCAATCGCTGTGGTACAACATTTTGCTATTGTGGCCGGGAATAGGTGGCGTACATCAAATTTTGCCCCTTTTATGATGTAATGAGAAAAATATTGTACCAGATTGATAATTGCACAGGCCCTGAAGAGGAACATGCACTTTTTTTTTCTCCTATTGGAAGTATTCTATCATGATAACACTCAAATCGTTATATTTATCCTGCTTCCCTTTACAGTTAAAAAAGAAATATTTATTCAACCTTCTGGATTTTTGGCTAGGTTGTAAGTTTAAGGTAAACTTACACTTTTTAATCATATTAGTGTTGTGACTTTAGACAAATACTGAGGATAGTTATAATTGTTTTTACATTTAATCAATTGGGATATTTACGCTGTGTGAATGCTTTATGAATTATGCCAGTGTTATAACCGATGTTACAATGATAAGAAAATCTGAGTGTGCCTGAGAGCAGAAGTGCTAAACATCTGAACAGCACTGAGCTGTCTAGCACTGCTATGGGGATGGGAGGGGAATCTCAGCCATTTTTCCTCAACAAAACTGTGAAGAGAGGAGTTGTTTTAAAAGACAGAAAATGTCACAAGACTATTCTCATGGAAAGTGGAAGCTGCTGTGTAGTTCTATGTGCCTGGTGTGAAAATAGGGAAAGGTGTGCAGAGATAATCTCTTGTACCCCTATTCTATGAGATGCTAAGATACAGCATTAGCCGCAACAGAATTGATGGAGCAATCTATGTTTTGGAAAGGCAAACGGATGCATCAAGTCTCACAAACCAGCCTCAGTTTAGGTAATCAGAAGCGGGATAAACACAACGTTTATCCTGACTGCTCTGCAATTCAAGACTATTTTTCACTTACGACAAGAACGTTAAATTGGCCATTGTCATTTTTTGGTGCATTCAGAAAGAGATTATAGAAATTAATCAGCATCCGCACATAAGATTTTACTGCCCAAGAATGTTTTGGAGAAAAACAGATTATTTGTCAATTTCCATTATTTAGCCACGCTTTTTGCTTCTGCAGCTGCAATTTTGCAATCTGCATTTTTATATGAACATTCAATTGCAGTTCTGATGCTTTATTTAGTGTTTGGTTTGGATTCTGTGCAAAATCAGCTTTTTCACCAAGGAGCTTCCAGTATGGGTTTACAGTGACAAAAAAACACATTGTTCACATCAGTAGGAAACAGAACCCCAACCCTGTTAAAATAAAAAGGAAGCAAACTATTGTAGTACACTGCCCGTTCAAATACAGCAACCTATTAAAAATTAAATAAAAATGAAAACCATCAAAACACGTGGCACTTAGCCATTTTAAATTAAAGGTGCCAGCCCACTTTTTTAAAAACTTTTTTTTTTACTTGACAGCTCACAAAGTAAGGAAAATACTCCTTGAAAGAAATAAAAAAGGAAGGCGATGCAAGGAGGCAGCGGGGCTTCAATGCATCTTGCCTTTCACATTGACAATGCAAAGAGAAGTGGGGTCGGGGCTGCGAGAAAGAAGGTCCTCTAACCTTATGCAACGGGGCTCAATGTTTGCATGCAGCCCATCCCACCAGCACCTACTGGGAAAAGAGCAGAGGGGAGGGGGAACCCCAAGTTCTGGCAGGTGAGGCAGAGATAAAAGGTCAATCCATGGGGAGGCGCCCCCTTTCTCTCCCCCGCCCCCTTCAGACTTACGTGGACTGGAAGCTTTTCGGAAGCAGGCGCCGCTACTGCGCCCCCTCCTCCTCCTCCTCCGGTCCCCCCAGTCCTGCCCCCCATCTTCGCTCCGCTGCTGCTCCCCCGGCCGCCTCCTCCCCCTCCCCCCGCCGCCATGTTGGGGCTCCCGCGGCGGCAGCAGCGGCGGCGGCGACTCTTCCGCCCCCTTCCGTCAGCCGCAGCGGCGCGCCCGAAGCAGGCTGCGCCTTGCGTCAGTGCGCACGTCCCCCGAACTCTAGGAGGAAGCGCCCGGAACCTTCGGGACGGGGGTCGAGGGAGGCGGCCGGAAAGGAAAGAGAAAGATCTCAGCGGAAAGGTGCTGAGAATAAGAGGAAAACCATAGAGAATGGAGAGAGAGAGAGAGATGGGTGGCTTAAGAATAAACGTTGCTAATTTGCCGAAAGCGCTCATGGTTCATAGTTCTTATTTTATAGAAAGGCATTTGGGAAGCGAGGGAGATAATAAGTCGGAAACTGAAAATTATCGATAGTAACCTTTGACATTAACGTTTTTCTCAAGAGACCAACGTTTCTTAGCACAGCACAGACCGTAAATGAGTCGCCAAAGTAATAACATCTAGCAACAAGACAAACATTCTCTATATGCAGAGAATTGGATCCTGGGAAAGTGAGAAAGGAAAAATGGGAAGGAGTTAAGATCAAGGAGAAATGAAAGAAAGGCTACAGTGACACACCCAAAGGAGCGAGGGCGTGGACGGTGGACCTCTTAAACAATGAATACCAATTGCTCACTATATTTATTAGCTGCAGGGATTGGGACATAAAGCCCTCGGGCTCAGCTGCATTTCAGCACGCAAAGAGCTAACATTGCAGAATTGGCATTCGTCGCCCAGGGTCATTTAAAGTACTATCCGCCCATTTTTAAACCGCAGAAAATGGACACTGCCTAAAATTGCCCGCACGATTGCTGCGCCCTATCCTGCCGCAGGCACGATGCCATCCAATGGCGGTGCTTTTGTTGACTGCAAGAAAAACAAGGGAATGGTGGATTCTCTCAGCATGATTTCCCTCCACTGTTGTTTGTCAAAATCAGCTGGTGGGTCTAACTATAGGAGAGGGAAAGCAAGGTTAAGAAGGACGAACTTGCCCCAGGATTTGAATGACTGTTTTGCATGAGTGGATCGGAAGCACCCTAACAATTAACAGCTGGGTGGAAATGGTTCAAGGGAAGGGGGTGGGGAAGGTGGAGGTCACATGACTTAAAGCAGCTTTGCGTCTCAAATTCTGCCCCTTTGTACCTTATATTGTGACTTTCCACTTACATTAAAAAAGGGACGGCAGTTGTTTTATCATGGCATGATGCTGCTTCTATAATAATCTATATAATTGTTTTTCAACCTTGGCAGTTTTAAAGATGCGTGGACTTCAACTCCCAGAATTGCAGGCTGGGGAATTCTGGGAATTGAAGCCAACATATCTTAAAGATGCTGGGATTGAGCAACGTTATATATAATTAGATGATTGCAGTTGTGTTCTAAAAGCAGAGTAGGTTCTGCTTTACACTTGTGCATTTATGTACATTTTTACAGCATATTATTAAAATAAATTATTTAAGGGAAAGAATGAACCTTTATTATTAAAGTATAACATGTATACAGTGAGATTGGCTGAGCCTCCCTCTGTGCCCCCCCCCACAACTCACAATGACTACAAATTCTCAACTTATTACACCCTGTGAGCTGATTGCACAGCACACCGGCCTCATGAGTCTGTCATGCATGAAATTATGTCCCATTCAAGAGCCTGACAGCCCATGGATAAAAGCTGTTCTTCAGCCTGTTGGTATGGCTGGCTTTGTTTCTGTATCTCCTACCCGATGGTAGGAGAGTAAAGAGGTACCAACCAGAGTGTGAGTCATCCCTGAGAATTTTCCTCACTCTACCAAGGCAATGGGCCCTGGCGAGTTGTAGGATGTAAACTAGCTCTGTAGCTTGAAATGCAGGGCTTCCAGACTAGAAGAGATGTACAGATTGTCCATATTCATCCCATCCCTACCAAGACTGGCTTAACATTAGGGATAGATTCAGGAACAAATTGGAAAGTATATCAAGGTTTGGACAGGATATTTTAGAGCAGTGGTTCTCAACCTGTGGGTCGGGACCCCATTTGGGGTCGAACGACCATTTCACGGGGGTCGCCAAACAAGGCTGTCTGCCATTTTTTTCCCTTTGGCCACGCCCCTGGCACCCAGTGATGTATAAGTGGTTGGGGGTCACCACAACATGGGAAACTGTATTATGGGGTTGCGGCATTAGAAAGGTTGAGAACCACTGTTTTAGAGCTTTTACATGTAGTTCTCAATATATGACCACAATAGGGATCAGAATTTCCATTGCTAAACAAGGCAGTTGCTAAATTAAAGTGGGAAAGAAATAGAATAACATAGAATAAAGAAGAATAAAGTATAATAATAATAATAATAATGATGAAAAATCACAAAAAGCAAAAATCATGTGTCTGCATAATCTCTGATAAGAAAGCTGTGTTAGCAAAAGCTGTATTAACAGTACATGAATGACCTAATGCATATTTAGAAACATTGTATAAAAGTAAAAACTGCCTTCATTGTATTCCCATGAGAAATGGACCTAACGTGTGAGAAAATATCTGAATGTTACACAAAGTAGATTCCATATACAATGTAAGATTCCATCTATGCTTCCTTTGTTCCTGAGAGAAAGAAACCTATAAAGCTTTAGTTTAGACCCTCCCCCTTGTTCAGAAATTTGCTGATTGTTAAGTCACTTCTGAACCTTTTTGCGCAAAAATAAAATCTCTCTTTCACCTTCGGAATTTCGTAAAAGCCCTTTATTTTTTTAAGGCTTTATTTTTCCACAAGAAAATGACTTGCATCCAATATTACAAACTTTTTCCCATGGTTATTAAGTAAATCACTGCAGTTGTTTGGTGAATCACATAGTTGTTAAACAAATGCATCTTCCCCCATTGACTTTGCTTATCAGAGGTTATCTGGAAAGATTGCAGTTGGTGATCACGACACCAGGACACTAAAGCATCATAAACACATGCAGGTTGCCAAATACCTGAATTTTGATCATATGATCATGGGGATACTGCAACAGTTGTAACTGTTAGGATCAATTGTAAGTCATTTTTTTCAGTGCCATTATAACTTTGAATGGTCACTAAATGAATGGTTGCAAATTGAGGACTACCTGTATTGGGTAAGCCAGTTTTACATCTCCTATCATACATTGTGATCAGAGAATTTTAACATAAATTTGATGAAACCAGTATTTCCACCCTGAAATTGGGAATTGATTATTCATGAAGAAACAATTTTATTGTATGCAGAGTGATAAGAGCTTGTGTGTTGTGAACAACTCTACATAATACATATAGTCCTTGACTTACATGCATACATGTATTTACGAAGGTTGCAGTGTGGTCCCCATTCACGATCTTCCCATTTGACTTCCAACAAGCAAAGTCAGTGGGGGAAGCTGGATTCACTTCACAACTACAGGATTCACTTAACAAGTGGATTGATTTGCTTAAATGCCAAAGCAAAAAAAGTCAGAAAATCAGGCACAACTCACTTAACAACTGCCTTGTTTAGCAATGGAAATTCTGGTGCCCATTGTGGTTGTAAGTGGAGGACTAATGCAGCTTTACAATTTAGCAAACATTTGAGATAGAAATTCTAGAGGTCTTTGTTCCTTTGTAAAAAGAATGGGGAATATACACTTATTTTGTAATATTTGGTTTATTTACAAATACATATGCATTTTAAACCCATTTTGTGTTCTGCAACATTTTCATTTGTAAGCGGCTCTTGAACTCCATCATTTTCCTTAATTAGAAGACGGCATTCATTGGGGGAAAAAATCCAGTGATTATGAAATAATTTTGTACACATATAATCCTGATGAGTCTTCAAACATTCAGCTACCTGCATTAAGAAAAAAATGATCAGAGCTAATCATGAATATCCAACATGGATGGAGTTAGGCAGTCTGGGATACATAGAACCAATCAGCTCTAATCTTTCCTGCAGCATCTAGGATGGCCTCCTACGGTACCATTGCTGAAAACCAGTAGTCCTGTTTCCTGCTGTCTTGAGGTAAGGAGCCCAAAGCATTTGTAATGAAAACTTAAAATAGGCTTGCTAAGAAAAAATAAATCCTATAAACATACTTCTTTATTTTATTTATATTATGATTTTCCCCATAGAATGAAAAGAAACAAAAGAAAGAAAGAAAACTGCAAAAGAGAAAGTCAAATTAAAAGATATATAAATGACTTCTAATCTTCAATAGATAGTTACAATCTTATTGCCCCTCCTCCATTTTAGATATTGCACAAGTCTTTCTTTTAATTCACATCTTTCTTCATCTTGAAATCCATAAATCATCATGTCATGTATTTCTTTTTCCAGTAAAAAGCCCATATAAGGTTTTCATAAAAGTTTTTGTTGTTATTTTCTTTGATCAAACAGGTCATTTTTGCCATTCCTGATAATTCTGACATTTTCACAATCTACTCCTCCATTATGGGGATACTCTTATTCTTCTAGTAAACTCATACAATACTTTCAAATCCCAGCAGGAAAAGAAATAGACTATCATTTTGCATTATGTAAGCTCCAGCAAATGTTAAGTGCAGCCTTCAGCCCTTAAAAGGTTGCTATCTCCTACATTAGGTAGTCATTCTTTTCTAGAACTCAGGGTTCAGTGATAATAAGGAAATAAGAAGAGCCAGTACGGACTAGTGGTTAAGGTGCTGGCCTAGGAACTGGAGACCATGAGTTCTAATCCCTCCCTAGGCTTGAAAAACCTTGGTGACTTTGAGCCAGTCACTCTCTCTCAGCCCAACCCACCTCATAGGGTGGTTGTTGTGGGGAAAATAGGAGGAGGGAGGAATTTTAGCTATGTTTGCTGCCTTGAGTTATTTATAAACAATAGTAAAGGCAGAATAATAAATACTCTAACTAAGGAAGTGAGGAAACAACTGAGTGAGGTTCACTTGTGGATGAATGACAAGACAGATATTCAAGTCACTCTTTCTCACTCTTTGTCGGTACTTCACACAATCCTACAAATCTGTGACAGCTTGTTGGTGATAGTTTGAGCATTC